GATAATTTAGTTTTGAATTTATTGTAAAGCGCCACTGGACATTTATGGAAGAGGCGCTATATAAGAAATATTTATTATTATTATTATTATTAGTTAGGGTCGGTTTGAGAAAATTTTGAAAAGACCTGAGAGCCGGAAAAACCTTCCAGTTCAGAAAGAGAACGAACCAACTCAGATCAGCATTTGATCACTGGGCACTAGCGTAAGGATGGGAAGGAAAGTCCCACCCTCCCCTTCCACCCTAATTTTTTCTTTTTTTTTTTCTTTTTTTTTCTTTTTTTTGCGTTCGACAACAAAAAATAATTAATTCATGCGGGATTCCCGTGGATTTTGCGGGAATGGTACATTGTCCCTCTCCCCTATAATCGAGACCTCGCTCGCCCCTGTGTCTGGGATTCAAACTCCAGTCCTCAGAGGTGAGAGAAGAGCGTTTTATCACCCGACCTGGATATCATGAAAAATCTGGCAAGCGATGCCAAATATCCATACCTGACTTTGGAAGTCCTTGTCTTTAGTCGTCTCTAGGATGCCTTTGAATTCCTCCAGAAAAGAATCGATACGGGACTGAATGTGGGTCACACTGAATAAGAAAGCAATAATGTTATGATTTGATTTATATCTATATTTTTAAACGTATAATAAAAAAAATAGAAAATCGACTTTTTTCACCATAAGCCATTTTCGAGTTTATAGGATGGATTCTCGGTACCCTCAATACAAAGAACAACATATTTCACAATCGGTTACGTAAATCAGGTATAGGCTTTTACTGAGCTAGACAAACGAGGTGCATTCTGGTCTATCTTGGGTACAAGAGACCCCATATAAGGCATGATGGACAAAATATGTTTGTACCCAAGTTAGACCATAATGCACCACGTTGGTTATGTCAAAGGTCAATACCATAATGACACAGTTTTACGTATATACACCTATTTCGATAAACGTTGTCATCTCCAAAAACGATAGGCGATAGGCGATAGGCGATAGGTCATTTCGACATGAAAATGGTTCCGTTACACACAAAGAACATTAGATCAGTCTCAACACTAAGGTCTATGTTCCTGACGAGAATAAGAAGCAGAAACACAAGCCATTCCAGTTATTCTTGGATCTTGGAATGACCTATCTCTTATCGTTTTTCGCCTATCGCCTTTGGCGATGACAACGTTTATTGAAAAAGGTGTATACCCCTGGGACTTGGTTTACCTGAATTTCTCTGCCTGGGATTGGACGGTTACAGAAAAGCCGATGATACCAAATGTGTTACGGCAAGCACAAAATACTGAATACCTGATGGGAAAATCCAGATGGTAGTTGTGAAGGTTTGAGGAAAAAATAAAATAGTACAGGAGTAAAACGCTGGCGAAGAAACATGAAACCATCTGGTGTGAAGGAGGTAAGCAGGGAAGGAGGTAGGCAGGGAAGGAGGAAAGGACGTAGGCAGGGAAGGGGTAGGGAGGGAAGGAGGCAGGGGGGGAAAGGAGGTAGGGAGGGAAGGAGGTAGGGAGGGTAGGAGGTAGGGAGGCAAGGAGGTAGGGAGGGAAGGAGGTAGGGAGGGAAGGAGAAAAGGACATAGGCAGGGAAGGAGGAAAGGACATAGGCAGGAAAAGGGGTAGGGAGGGAGGAGGTAGGGAGGGAAGGAGGGAGGGAG